GCCGCAGGCATGGCATCCACCCAGGATTTGACCGGATCAACATGCGCTTTGCCCCGCCTGCCGGTCATCACGGGCAGGAACAAGGTCATTGCATGACAGCCTCCCATCAGCGGGATGAAAAGGCAGACGTCGTGGTGGTGGGTGCAGGGGGTGCGGGCTTGATGGCTGCCTGCATCGCGGCGCGCGCAGGCAGCCGCGTCGTGCTGCTTGAAAAAGCGCCGCGCATTGGCGGAACCACTGCGCTGGCGGTCGGCTCGATCATGGCCTCTGGCACGCAGCAACAGCGCGATGCCGGCATCACCGACAGCGCTGCCGACCATGCAGAAGACCTTGCCGCGGTGGCGCGCGCCTTCGGCATTTCTGACAACGCCGATCTCAGTCGCCTCATGGCGACACATGCTGCAGAGGCCGTCGGGTTTCTGCACTCTATCGGCGTCGTGTTTGCAAATCCCTTGCCGCAACCGCCGCATCGCCAGCCGCGCCTGCATCAGGTCGTGCCGGGATCGGCCTCATATGTCCATCATCTGGAACGCGCATGCCATAAAGCCGGTGTGGCCATCCATGTCAGCACCGCCGTTACGCGGCTTGTGCAGGCCAATGGCCGTGTGGCGGGCGTTGAAGTGAAAGACGCGTACGGGGCTACACGAACAATTTTTGCGGTGCAGGGCGTGATCCTGGCATCGGGTGACATCGCCGGAAACGCAGCCCTGCTCAAAACGCATGTCGGTGAGGGGCTGGACGGTATCGAGGTGCTCAACCCTTGGTGTACCGGGGATGGCCACACCATGGCCGAGGCGGCCGGTGCAAGGATTGTTTCAAGAACAGACTACGGCGCAGGTGAACTCGCACAGATGCGTTTCGTTAAACCGGAAAAACCGAACTGGACGCAGCGCATTCCGCCTTTCAGGGGCATTGCCTGGCTCATTAAAACCGCCCTGCAATACCCGCCGGCGGTGGCACTGCTCAGGCCTTTTGTGCTGAAGTTCCTGACCACGGCTTTGGGCGTGGACCGCGGCCTGTTTGTGCAGGGTGCGTTGCTCATCAACAAGCGCGGCGAGCGTTTTGCCGATGAGCTCGGCGGCACCATCCTGCAGGATGTCGGCCACCATGAGCGCACGGCAGACAAGCCTGGCGGCGCATCGGGCACGCCCAACCTCCTGCTGCCCCGGCAGCCCGGTGGCGTGGGCTATATCGTGTTTGACGAGCGCATCGCGCGCCAGTTCTCACGCTGGCCGCATTTCATCTCGACAGCGCCCGGTGTGGCTTATGCCTATGTCGACGACTATCGGCGTGCGAGGCCTGATATTTTTCATTCGGCGCCCACCCTGGCCGGTCTGGCCTTGCGTCTCGGCATGGATGCAGGCGCGCTGCAGGCAAGCGTTAACGCCGCCATAGACGAGCGTGGCGACAAGGCTCTGGCTGGTGGCCCGTTTTACGCGCTGGGCCCCATCAAGTCATGGCTGCTGGTGACGCCTGTCGGGCTGGCTGTTAATACAAGACTCGAGGTGCTTGATACCCGGGGCCACGCCATCGATGGCCTCTACGCTGCAGGCGGCGTGGGGCAGGGCGGTTTCACCAACATTGGCCACGGCCATGGCCTGGCCTGGGCGTTTACCAGCGGTTTGCTGGCGGGACGACACGCTGCGGCCAGAACAAGACACACATGAAGGAGAAGACCATGTCCGCTGAAAAAATGATCCAGGCCGCCTGCGCCTGCGGCAGCACCCACGAGGTCACTGCTTTCAAGGCGGGCCGGCTCTCGCGCAGGTCGCTGCTGGCCGGAGCTGGCGGTGCCCTGTTCTCCGGGCTGGTTGCTTCCCAGACTGCTTTAACCGCTGGTTCGTCGGCTGCGGCCAGGCCGGGCATCATCGATGTTCACCACCATGTGTCGCCGCCATCCTTCATCAGGGAGATCGTCGCGCAGGGCGCGGGCGAACGCCCGGTTGTCGGCTGGACACTCGAGAAATCGCTGGAAGACATGGACAGGGCAGGCGTTGCCACATCCATCACGTCCATCACCACTCCGGGTGTGTGGTTCAGGGATGAAGTGCGCGCCGCCCAGCTGGCGCGTGAATGCAATGACTTCGGTGCCGGCCTGATGTCGAGGTATCCCACACGTTTCGGGCTGTTTGCGGCGCTGCCGCTGCCGGATGTGGATGCCAGCCT